CCCCCGTTTGCTAATGAGACATCTATGGCTCCGTGCTGCCGTCCCTCTCTGCCTGGACCAGGGGCGCTTTCGGGCCATCTGCTGGGGCCGCCCTCTCGCACAAAGCCACCGGGCACCCGGGGAGGTGCTCACAGCAACCTTTGACACCACGGCTGCCAGGACGGGCCGGGGCTTTGATGCGTTCCTCCGAATGCAGAGTTCAGCTGTTTCTCCGTCAGTGTGAGTCCCAGCGAGAGGAGAGAGGGATGCGGGCCACCGAAATCGTGACAAACGGAGCAAGAATCTTGCCAAGTTTCTGGTGTGGATTTTCCAGGCTGGCAGATGTTGTCACCACGCGAAAGTTTGCTGAGTATCAAAATGGTCGTTCCGCAGAACGTGAACATCTTGGGACGGGGGTCTCTTCCGTTGCCAGATCCCACTGACAGAACTCTGGGGTTTGGTGATACAGGGGCATTCCTCTGCTGGCAACATCCCAGCTGGGATTTCTGCAAGATCTTTCTTATGCACCTGGGATGGGGCAAAGGAACAACACAGGGGCAGTTTTTGTTCCAGTAAGACATCACACAGGAAGCCATACCCAAGTTTTCATAGAATAGTAGAATCAATCACAGAATAATAGAATCAGAATGATGGAATCACAGAACCACAGAAGGGTCTGGTTTGGGCCTGCAAGCCTACGCTGCCCCAACCCCTGCTATGGGCAGGGCTCCCCTCCACCAGCTCAGGCTGCCCAGGTCCCCATCCAACCTGGCCTTGAGTGCCTCCAGGGATGGGGCATTGTGTTCTTCTGATCACTAAAGCTCAGCCAGGATGTCTTCATTTATCAGGAGTTCTACATCAAAACAAAGATGTGGAAAATGGAAAAGAAATGAAGGATAGCATTGGAGTGCCACATACAGAAAAATAGCGAAATGGGAAGAAAAAAAAAAAAAGACAAAAAAAACCCCTACAGGAATGCTGCTCAGGAAACTCAGAATTAGAACTAAACATCCACACTGTGTCATGCTGGAATTTCAGGGAAAAAGAATAAAGGAGTAAAACGTAATTTTCTAAACTAAATCCAGTGCAGACAAGGATGCTTCACTCCTTGCTGAGGAGATGCAACCAGTTGTGCTGATGAAGGAAGGTGAGAACAGAGAGCTGTTTCTTTGGCTCTTGGCAGCTTAAGATACAATTTTAGCTTCAATTTGCTCTTCTCATACACTCATGGGGCCATTTTGCTGCTATGGCAAGCCCACTTCTGTATGTTTTGTGCATGAGGAAGAGCACCGAGCCCAGTGGAACCAAACATTTTCCCTCATATTACATCTCCTTTCTAACAGAGAGAATCATATAATAGAGTCATAGAATCATAGAATCATAGAATCATAGAATCATAGAATCATAGA